CATGAACTACATCACTGAGAACATCCTACCAGAAACACAGTGTGGCTTTCGGAAGGAAAGGAGGACTCTGGACATGATCTTTGTTGTACGGCAAATCCAGGAGAAGTGCCGGGAACAAAACATGGACTTGTACATAACCTTCATCGACCTTACTAAAGCTTTCGATACTGTCAACCGGGAAGCCCTCTGGACCATTCTTGGGAAATTAGGTGTTCCACAAAAGTTTCTAAGTATTCTTCAGCAGCTACACAATGGTATGCAGGCACGTGTACTGGTGGGTAGCCAGCAATCACCAGCTTTCCCTGTAAATGTAGGGGTGAAGCAGGGATGCGTGCTAGCTCCAGTGTTATTTAACTTATTTCTGGCTGCAGTAACAATTAGAGATGGGCCCGATCCGATATGATATCGGTATCGGGTCCGATATAGCCGTAAGTCCGTCATCGGATATCGGTCAGACAGGCCCGATATATATATTCCAGTTCGCAGCTTGCGCTGGACCTTAAACTCGACGCAATGCACCGCTCCTTATTCCATACCATGAACCTGCGGCAACTTCAGTCTGAGCGAGCGAATAACATTAGCCGTTGTTGTGAACAAAATGTCGCTCGTTTGGAGATACTTTAGTTTGGAAACGCCGAAAAGCAAGACAGCTACTTGTAATGTGTGTAAAGCCAGCGTGCCGAGGGGTGGAAGTACGGTTGCGTCGTACAATACAACAAATTTAATCAAGCACCTGCAGAGATTTCACGACAAAGAGTACCAGGAGTTTATGCTAGCAAACAGGGAAAAAGACACCAGGCAGCAGACGCTCGTTGATGTTTTCCAAAAACGCAACAAATTTACAGCAGACAACCCAAAAGCGAAAGCAATAACAGAGAAGTTGCTCAACTTCATTATACTTGATGACCAACCGCTATCTGTAGTGGAAAATGTCGGATTTAGTAGCCTGTTGGAGCACTTAGAGCCCAGGTACAATCTGCCGTCTAGAAAATACATTTCAGAAACTGCTATACCTGAACTATACAACCGAGTGTCATCACGGTTAGCGGCACAGTTGGAAAATGTTAAAGCAATGAGCTTCACAACTGATATTTGGACCTCAGATGTGAGCCCAATGTCCCTCATAAGTCTCACTGTACACTGGGTGAACTCGGAGTCATATGCGCTACAGAGTGCGGTGCTTCAGGTGAAAAAGTGCAGAGGGTCACATACCAGCAGTACAATTGCAACCTCCATTACAGAAATGCTTAAAGACTGGAAGATCCAACTCGCTAAAGTGCATGTGATTGTGCGAGACAATGCGAGTAATATGAAGAAGGCTATGGAAGAAATTGCAGTTCCGAGCTTAGGTTGTTTCGCTCACACGCTGCAGCTCGTAGTGCACGAGGGGCTTATTTCACAACGCAGTGTTAGCGATGCCATAGCAAATGCGAGAAAAATCGTGGGACATTTTAAACACTCGCAAATTGCACAGTCTCGTTTGGAAGACATTCAGACTGAATTAAAATTGCCCACAAATCGTCTACGTCAAGACGTTCAGACAAGGTGGAACAGTTCGTTTTACATGATTCAAAGCCTTCTTGAACAGAAGCGAGCCCTTTGCGCCTATGCTGCCGATCACAACCTGCCTGTAACTCTGTCAGCCAACGAGTGGGCATTATTGGAAAAAACCGTGACAGTGCTGGAGCCTTTTGAGGAGTTAACCCGGAACATCAGCTCAGCGACCTCCACTACAGCAGATGCGATTCCAGCCATCACAGTCTTAAAACGTCTGCTTTCCAAAGAGAGTAGTACTGACAGCGGTATCAAAACAATGAAGAGTACACTCCTGCAAGCTGTCGACAGACGTTTCAGCAGCATAGAAAGTGGTCCCCTCTATTCAGTTGCCACTTTACTGGACCCCCGATATAAAGACAGGTGAGACAGCTTTTTTAATGAAAACAATATAATATAAATAATACATATGTATCGACCTGTATATGTACACTATATTGCCAAAAGTATTCACTCACCCATCGAAATAATTAAATTCAGGTGTTCCAATCACTTCCATGGCTGTTCTCATGGATTAAGAATGGGATGTCACTTAAGTTCATATGCGTGTAAAGGCAGGTGAGCGAATACTTTTGGCAATATAGTGTATATGTAATGTTGGCAACGTGTGCATCGTATAAAACCAAAGCTTCATGTGTTTTCTAGTCTAAAAGTGTAGATGTGTAAATTTGCAATAATTTGGTGAAGTGTGTATCCTTTGCCTCTAATCTAGGGGTTGCACTTGTTCATTTTTAATATTTTACTTAATACTTTTGATTGTGTTATTACAGTTATGGTGGAAATGTTATTTAGTATACAGTATAAGGATAACCACACTCGTATCAAATAATTATCAATAATTTTTTGAGACATGTATCTATTATTTTATCTATTTGTAACATTAAGTAATGTTAATTTCAACAGAAATTGATTGGTGCTGGAACATCTTATTCTCAACCTTTTTTTCTGTCAGATACTTCACAGGTGAAGACACTGCCAAGCATGCCAAAGCTGCCCTGATACAAGAAATGGAAAAAGATAGAGGAAACACTGCAAAGGGCTTCAGATAAAGAATCTGCATCACTGGCAACAGGGCC